AGATAGATAGATAGATAGATAGATAGATAGATAGATAGATAGATAGATAGATAGAACGTCAACCTGTAAAGACAGACATGAGATGGGCTTTCATTATAGGAAAAGTAGACAATTGAATACTGATCATAAGTCATAATTAAGTCAGAGTAAAAATGATGAGCAGTAAAACAAAATAATAATAGCTTTTTGGCAAACCGAACAATACTGTTTTTATGCTTTAACGCACTCCATGGAAACTTATAAAAATTGCACCCGACATACTTTGAATTTCGACCTTGACCCCGGCCATCTGTGCCCTTTCTGTTGACCTGCAGAGATAGCCTCCACTGTCTGAGATCCTCGTGGCCTTGATCTCCAGCTTGCTGCTGATCGTCCCTGAACTCCGACCTGTGAGGGTCACTGACGTATGTATGCTGTAACGGCTGTCAGAGTCCAACCTCAGCGGCTCGCCATCTGTCAGAATGAAGAAGGACAAAAATTATCTTCTATAACGGTTTATTAATTACTTGAAAATTTTTCTTCCCGCAACCCCTCCACTTTCTTTTCTCCTCCTCTCTTCTCTGCCCCCCCCCCCACACACACACGTGCAAGATAAAGCCACATAAAAAGGGTATGCTTTATTATAACTTTTCTCGAAATAGCCGTCAGCCCAAATGGCTCAGTCTGATCGGAGATGGACCTTAAATTTTGAGGTCCCGCCTTTAAAATACAATTTGAATACTGTTTTAAAAAGGGCGTTAAACCTTTACACTTTTTTACAATCGAAATAGCCTGCCCTCTTAATGATTGAAATTGTACCGATGGTGGGGAAAAAACACGTGCATAACCCCCTATCCCAAACAACTACAACAAACAAACAAACAAACAAACAAACAAAACAAACAGACAGACAAACAGTCAAACAAACAAACAAACCGTATCGAAACTTCTACAAAAAAGAAACTAGAAGAGCGTGAAAAGAGAAGCTAGACAATCTTTGAGTGACCTTTGATCCAGGAAATCCTCTCCACAGACACGTCCACGAGGCTGGCGTTGCAGGTCAGAGTGAGCACAGAGCCAGACTTCACCACGTTCTCCCCGCTGATTTCTATTCCTGAGGACGGAATTGTTCAATTGGCGTTTCACACGGAGCCACTGTACAGGACAAAGGCCAA